GGCGTTGTGGCGGGCGCCTGTAGTCCCAGCTACTTGGGAGGCTGAGGCAGGAGACTCACTCGAGCCCAGGAGTTGGAAGTTGCTGTGAGTGTGATGCCGTGGCACTCTACCCAGGGGGATAGCTTGAGGCTCCATCTCAAAAAAATAAAAAAAGACATGGGGGGAGGGCGGGAAGGGGCAGCTGAGAAAGCTTACTGTAGACTCACCTTATAAGAAATACTAAAGGAAATTCTATAGGCTGAAAGCATAGTATTCCAGAGAGTAATTCAAACCCACAAGAAAAAATAGAGTATTAGCAAAGACAATTATATGATTAGAAAAGACAGTACAGGACACTCACTTGCAATTGTATTGTTGGGCCTATCACATAACAGAAATCTAAGGTTTACCATTACAGAATAGGTGAAAGCAAAGCTGTATTAGAGTAAGAAAGTAACACTACGCCAGGTGTAGTGGCACCTGTACTTTCAGCTACTTGGGGGCTGAGGCAGGAGGATCACTTGAACCCAGGAATTAGAGGCTGCAGTGAGTCATGATTGTGCACTAGACTCCAGCCTGGGTGATAGACAGAGTAGAAAAAAGAAAAGAAAGACACCAGGTATTAACTCAAACCAGAGGGACAAATAAGAAAACTAAAAATGTAAATAAAGTTAATATAACAAATGATGTACATACATACCTGCTTTCCTTTCTTCTCATAGCTTCTTTAAAAAACAAAATTACAGAAAGTAATAATGTAACAATGTATAATTGATTTCCAGTTTTTTTTGAGATAGAGTCTCACTCTGTCGCCTGGGTAGAGTGTCAGGGCATCATAATAGCAGCTTCAAACTCCTGGGCTCAAATGATCCTTTGCCTCAGCTTCCTGAGTAGTTGGGACTACAGGCTCCTGTCATGACACCCAACTAGTTTTTCTATATTCAGCAGAGACAGGGTCTCACTCTTGCTTAGGCTGGTTTCGAACTCCTGAGCTCAAGGGATCCACCTGCCTTGGTCTCCGTGAGTGCTGGGATTACAGGCATAAGCCATCACCCCCAGTCTAACAGGGTGTAATTGAGAACACCTGTCATTAGCAGATGTGCCCAACAAGAAATACCAAAGAGAATCATTTAAGCTAAAATAAAAGAATACTAGATAGTAACTTGAATCCACATGAACAAATAAGAGTCTGAAAAAAGTTACTATATTGTATATGTAAAGTGGTATAAATTTACTTTTGCTTCTCTTTTGTATTTGATTTAAAAGATAACTAAATAAAACAAAAATTATAAGTTTGTGTTAATGGGCTTATAAAATGTACTTTGTATGACATGACAATAACAGCAGAAGGAGGTACAAAGAAACAGTTCTACTAGAGTAAAGTTTTGGTATACTATTGTGTTAAATCAGTATTAATCCAAATTAGAATGTTTTAAGTTATTAAATATAATCCTCAAGATAAGAAGAAAACAACTCAAAATTATATAAGGCAAAAATGAGATTAAAATTGGGCACTATAAGATACCTATTCAACATAAAAGAAGGCAGTGTTGTAACCCAGCCTGTTCCCATGCCCCCCTTCCCCTACGGCAGAGAACATGCTTCTCAGCTCATTCCCAGGCCCCCTCCTTTCCCCTTGGGTTGCCAGGAACAGACTTCAGAATAAGAACCCAAACTGTAACTACTGCTATCTGAACTGTAACCATTGCTACCGTAACCACTGCCACCCAAGCTGTAACCATTGATACCTAAACTGTAAACCCAAACTGTAACCCTACCGATGGTGCCCTGCCAACGGCAATGTTCCTTGTACACAAAAAAGGGTATAAAAGACAAAAAACCCTGCACTTCAGGGCCGCTTGTCTTAGGACAACAGCCCTCTGCGCAGGTGTAAAAAAATCACCAATTTTTTTTTTTTTTTTTTT